ATCACAACTAAACTGATTAATTGTTTCAGCTATTGTTTTCTTAGTGAGTTCTAGAGGAAAACACGTCCATCTCTAGAGCTGAAAATTAGTTCAAATTAGTTAGCGGTCTGAGCCTCTATCTCTTCAGGTTCATGTCTGGCCGTTAGCTCCATGTTTTTAGCAAGATCAGGATCTGAGGTTGGATAGAATGGTTTCAGGCAAAGGAAGCAGCTAGCTTCAATTAGTTCTTCAGCCGCTAGCCACTAGCCTACTAACATTAGCTGTGGCCACTAGCAGCAAAGGGAAGGAGTGTGTGTCAGTACGTGAGTGTCCTCAGACTCAGATACACTCAATGTAACCTTTCATAATAAACTAGGTATGAGTAGATAAGCAGAAAGCTGCTCCTGTGTGGTTTAAGAGTTTTTGACTTTAAGGTTTGGATCAGGTACCAGCTCTCCAATGGTTTCAGCAGACAGCATGTTGGATCAAATGTAGCGTTCTGGTTACAGCCTGTACTTTTTTCTATTATACTACTGTTGATATTTTTGTTTCTTATACCTTCTACTTGCTGGTGTTTTAAACTTAATGTTTCAACAACCTTTGAGCTGCTACCAAACCAGACAGCCTCTCCCTATAGCTCTAGGTTTTGAGAAAGGCATTCCGAACAGAGACTCGATGTCGATACCCACTAAGTGCTGCAGATGGATGCAAAAAATGTATTTATTATATCTCAAATCAGGCTAATACATGGGTCAAAAGTTACAGTGTTGCTTTAAATAATCCTATCCTGGTCATTTGCCTTTGAACACAGTGTGCTCTGTCAGCAAAAGGAAGAAAACTATTACTTTATTTAAAGTGAGTCTAGAATCAAAAATATTTCTGTCTGGCTCCAGTGACATTATTGTGACAGTTTTGACAGTGGTTTGCTAATAATATGATGATCCACTGATTTGGAGAACTAAATCTATTTTCACTTCAGAAGGCCACCTACAGACTTGGTAGCAATCTCATGGTAGAACAAATTTATTTGCGTTTCTAAGGCAGAAGTTAAATGTTTTGAGCTCCCAAACTTTCTATAATCATACAGAAATTACACATGTAATATATGAAAGAGACCAAACCCTACTTTTTAAGAATGCATTTAAACTTAAAAAAAAAAAAAAAAAAACCTTCTGATTACCTAAATAGTTAATGGACATAAAATAATCAGCATCATATTACTGAAAAACAGAAAACATTCAGTCCTACATTGACTTCAGAGAGTATTTTGGACACTTGTATCTGTATAGCTGCTCTAGTCTAAATACAACCAGACCTTGGACAGTCATAACCTAGACTGTTCTTAGTTCAGAGAAATGTCTTGGAACAATCTCAGATGTTTTTTTTTTTTTGGTGTTTGTTTTGCTCTATGTATTGTTAAATAAAGTGTTGCCATTCAGGTTGGTCACAATAAAAAAAATAAATATGATAAATCAATCATGATACATTTCAATGAAATCAACAATAGAATTTGCAAACTTGCTGGTTTTCCTTGTGTCTACCTCTCCAATATAAAAATTGGATGACAGAGAAAAACAAAACAAAAAAAAAACCCTGATAGGTTTCAAAGGCAAACAACACTCTGGATTCATATCGGATTATAAATAGAATAGAAATACTACTTATATAGGTTACACCTAGGCCTTAAACCATTGATCAGATTAATTGTGATTAATCGATTAATGAAATACATCGTCAACTGATTTAGCAATCAAAAAATTGTTAACTGGATTGTAGAGACTTTATAACGTGTCTTTAGCTGACAGAGCGACCCACCATGAGCTGCAATTATACCAAAATTGTGGAAAAAAATATGTAAACATTTTGCATTTAAGATTTAAAAAAAATAAAAAAAAATTTGCCTATTAATATGCTCTACCCGGAAATCCTCAATTTCCCACAAAGCACCTTGAAAAGTAGTGATGATCCATTTCCCGAGATGCTTTGCAAGATCTCTTCTTGCAAAGCATTATAGGATTCGTTGTATCGGCAATAAATAAAGAAGGCACAGGAACTGAGTCACCAACGGTGAGTAAGAAGTAGTGATCATCTGTCTGAATGGCCAGTTAACTGAGTTCACTATAAAGTTCTCCATATAGGCTCCCCTCTATAACGTGATTGAGGAATTTAGGGGTTAGGGCGGATGTCTGAACACAGCCTTTGTTTTCATTTTTAAAGTTTATTTTTCTGTCGCCTTCATTTCAATCTAGTTTTTGTGTTGTGAAAATCTCCAGACTTTTTACAGAAAGGCAATGAGGATAACAAGTTCAATAGATTTATAATATTTTCTAGTCTCATTACAAAGTAACAAATGAAGACAAGCATCATGGGTCTGCAGCTGAATGAACAAACTTTCACTGATCTTTATACAACAGGAAGCACTGTGAATGATGTCTGCTAAAAGCAGAGTCAAGGACAAAATGTTCAAAATGATCAAATTTACTTTAGTCTGCGGATAATATGATCTAACCAATAAGAGTAACATTAAACCATTTGGAGAAACTGCGAATGGAGGGGGTGGACTGGTTAAATTATGGAAATATACTGCAGCATTGACACAACCGGTTTGTAGATGGCCATTTCCTTTTTGGTTGGCTTCCATGACCACATACAGCCAGCAAAAGCAAGACAATCAAATGAGCAACAGAGACAAAGTGTACAATAAACAAAGGATATCAAACTGACAACACACCGTCACAACATAGACATCACAGCAAGTGTCTCTTTTTAGGTTTTTATCCTCCATTTTGTTTGGATTCTTTAAGTAAGAGTGAAAACAAAGTCAACCTAATTTCACAAAGGAATTATCCCCACAGCTGTTTTTCACTCCAACTGAGCTAAAATCCTAGCAGAGATTTTCAGAACTCCAGGCCACAGAGACACACCCATACATACCATCTAAAACCCATGATGCAAAGAGAGAGAGTGCATAAGCCAGCTGAACTGGTTAGAGGACTTGTCAGTCATGCAAAACATTCATCGGCTTCATCCAGGTGATTGTTATGTAATAAGGAAACAATAAAAACATACAATATTTATTTTCTACATTAGCAAAAATCAACTTAACAATATAATCCTCTGTGTTCTTTCACTTTGGAAGAATATTATCAGAAGTCTAAATAAAAACAGATAAACTAGTCTCTTTGTTTCAGCTAAACAAAATAATAAATGTCAGCAGATTACATCAGTCTTCAAGCTACTTTTACCTACATTGTTTCACATGAATGCTGTTTTAAGTTTGCTTCTATTTGCATCTCTGCTAAGCAGGTGAGACATTAGCATATTTTGATCCAGTAACCAGTAGTGTTGCCACCTAAAGAATATTAGAACGATGCAGCAACTTTTGATGGTAGTGTTAATGTTTTTTAAGGAAAAAAATCAAAGATCTTTCTTAGCTAACAAATATAACACACCTTAGCAACACTGACATGGCTTCAGGAAAGGGAATCAAAGATGAAGGTTATTGAGCAGCCACTTTCTCGTCATCCAGCTAAACCTATTGAATATTTTATTCAAATGCTTAGTGACAACGAGCATTAGAGGCAATCTTCTCACGGGCCAGAACTGCCAGTCACCGCAATGAATACAAGCTTCATGTTACCTCCAAACCCCTAGCAACCTTTTCTCCACACATGGTCAGAACAATAGCATTTCATCAACAGATTCAGCAACAACAATTAAAAAACAGCAGAAACACAGACACTTACTGTGTGATGGTGTTCTGTACACTTTTCTCATTAAGCGTCATTCCTGGGGGTGGATCATTTTGCAGAGCCATTAATTCCTTTTGAAGCCTTTTCTGTTGGAAAAAAATATATATGTTTATGTTTACTTCTCTGTCTCAACATAGCACCAAACATAATGCAAAAGAATCAGAAAAGCACAAAAAAAATCTATATATGTTCCAATTTTACATAATTATGTTAGGGCAATATAAACCTTTATTGTGTATGTATATATATATATATATATATATATATATATATATATATATATATATGAATATTTTCAATCCTAAATAGGAAAGTTTACATCTTTAAGAGTTTTGTTTTACGGTAATTACTTCTGTACGTAGTTTATTGTTTCAGCAAATGGTATTCTTTAGAGTCTGTGTGTGTTTACTCTAGGTAGTGATTTAATTTGATTACCAAATTTGCTATTATTTTTATTTATCTGTTAATCACGATTAATTGCTTCAGCTCTAAACCATATTAGCCAATATTAACTTTATTGAGGATAAAAGTATTATTTATAATAATTTTAGCCAGACAGCCCACTTAACATTAGCTATTTGCCTCAAACTGTTATTGAGATATCATAAATCTAACCTTATATCTAAGTTAAGAAAACTAGCGGATCAACTAAAAGCATATATACAACTATGAAGCATTAATCTCTCTATAAAAAAAGTCTATTCATTTAGTAACTTGGTGATTTAAAAAAAAAAACAACCATTTATCATTTAGAGATATTGAAGATTAGATTAGATTAGATGAGCTTTATTGATCTCGCAGCGGAGAAATTCACTGGTCACATATTGGCATAGTACTTAAGGAACGTGCAAACAAGGAGGAAAAGGTGCATTAGGAATAAAAAAATAAATAAAAAAAATAAAAAAAAATACAAGGGTGTAACACAGAAATTAGAGGTGACATATGTCCAATCAAGATGGCTTATATACAGGTGGATTGACTTTTACATTAAAGTGTAGTAGGTAGGGTTGTCAAAAGTATCGAAACTCAAAAAAGTATTGATACTGAAATGTTGTATCCGGATACAATACTCGTTTTTAAAAGTATCGATACAGTGCCGTCACCAGTGGCACCTAAGCAGTAATTCATCTAAAGTGCAGAATAGAGGACAAAGCACTTTCAGAACACTGTGTGATTGAACAATTCTGTGCTCTTTTCAGTTTCAGACTTTTTTTTTGTAAAAGGTGCAGCTGCTGAGAATTATTTTTGTTTCTTAACCGGTTTAGCTATGTAGTGTCATTGTTATGTGTGCAAAGCATAGCCAAGGAAGGAACACTTAATTTTAATTTTATAAGCTTTTTATTAAGCTTGCTTAATATTATGCACAGCATACAACCTGTATTGTATTTATTTATTGTATTTTATTTATTAATGAAAATATTTCTGTTGAATTTTGGAGTCTTTGTTTTTATCCTTGTGGTATCGAAAATGGTATCGAGTATCGAATATTTTCCTTAGTATCGGTATCGAATTGAAAAGTTTAGTATCGTGACAACCCTAGTAGTAGGTAAGGAACAACGGTGAGGTAGTGGTATGACTAGATACAGTTACAAAGATGTATCAGATGCTGTTAAAGATTGAAAAGGTTAAAAATACAATATTAATATTGTCATCTCAATAACAATGTGGGCACAATAACAAAAGAAAATGAAATGTATGGATGCAATATATGGAGGGCTATTATATTTCAATTACCATGCATCAGTCCCATCATGCATTTGGTCTGTTAGATGGGCTCTCACTGCTCTCAACACCCCCACATGATTTAGACTTTAGCACTAAAACTTAAAGTGATGCTTCCATCAAGATATAAATAAAAACAGTGTGAGAAGAATATGGATTTATCACAACCAGTTGCATTGTTTTAATATTCCACAATAATCATGTGATTAAATGTTTCCTTATAATCTTACATCTTTATCCAAAAGATTTATTTTTTATTTCATATTTCTTTTTGCATATAGAAAACCAATATGAGGGTTGTAGCAATGCTGTGGCTGTAAGAAAAAGTCCCCCTTTTGTCTTTTTTTTTTGGGCGGTAAGAAAATTCCCATGTTATAGATTACTGTATTACACAAAAAAAGAATAGAAAGATTATTTCATTATTATAACGTCAATATGTGCATTACCGAGCAGGGTTTATTTTCGGGCATATGGAACAATGTTGACTAATGTATTTATAATATTCAAGTATCAGCAACTTCCAATTTACATGTAAATGCAATATTTTAGGTTTTCCAGCTTTTATTGTCATGACACTGTCACAAGCACAGAGCAACAAAATTGATTCTCTGCATTTTTTTTTTTTGCGGCAACCTGGGAGCAGTGTGGGGTTAAGGGTCTTTGCTCAGAGACTCAGATCACAAGCGCACTGCTCTAACCCACTAGGCCAGCAACCCCCCTTAGTTGGGCAGTGTCTCATGGGAGCAGAAATCGCACTACACAAAATGCTAAGGATCGCAGCGTGATGAAGTATAAAGAAAATAATAAAAATGAGAAGATCCATATATCAACTGACATCATCATAATAATTACCAATATTATTTCCATCGTAAGACTATCAAATATTGGTCTTCCTCAAAAATAACCATGTGGCCATTTTCAATTATGTTAAAAAATAGTTTACTATTTCAGACTTTTTGTGTTCTCATTGTATGCTTGTTTGTTTATATAGCATTATAGGCAACCAATAAGCATCACAAAATCCATATAAAGAAATTTAACAGCAATTAAAAAAGCAAAAAAGACCAAACAAAGCAGCATTAACAAACAAATAGTGTTTTCACATTTCTGTGTTAAAATCCTGTCTGAAATAAAAAAAAAAAAAAAAAAAAAAAAAAGG